ACAAATTTTCAACAGCCTCGGGAACACCATTCAAGCTGCCATGGAATACAAACTTACTGAGGGCATGTTTGATTGCAAAGATGGAATTTGGTGAAAAGAAAACAAATTTCAGGGAATTGAATTGCCTAAAAATTATTTTCTTGGGAATTATAAATTATTGTGTTTGATTGGTATAATTTTTCACATGAAAAATGTTGAAATAAAAGTAATTTTTAGTGGTCGTTTGACTTTGTTTTACATAAAAATTGTCAATTAAAGGGATAGATTTTACTGGTATTGGGATGGAATTTGTTTCCATTGTCAAAAAAAAAATTCAAGAAAATCATCTATATTTTGGTGTTCGTTTGATTTTGTTTTACATGGAAATTGCCAATTAAAGGAAAATATTTTTTTTTTACAATAATTCTTAAAATTTATTTCCATTGCCAACAAAAACAAAATAACAGATCAGCCTAGAAAACCAATTCCCACCATGGATTTCAAGGAAAACCAAGAAATGTTGCAAACCAAGAAAACTATGAAAGGGAATTCCATGAAAAAATTTTGCTATCAAACATAACAAAAAGTGGAAATTGGAAAATGAATTTCATTTTTCATGAAATTGGGTGCCTATCAGACAGACCCTAATAGTAGTTGTGGAGATGTATTGCATCAAGTGTGCAGTTTTGGTAGTTTTTCACTTGCATCTTCGAGCCTGTTATGCCTAGTTTGGGCCACTTCATAAATACTATACTGCTATTGGGCCCTCTTTACTTGCGAAGTCCCCAACTTTCAAAGATCTTTGCCGAACCTTTGAATTATATTATTTGAGCCATTTTCTTTTATGAAGCCTCGTGCTTTCATCCAATTGATCCGAATCAAATCTTCTAGCTTTATCATTTTGCCTCTCATCAAAATATTTGAGACTTGGACAGAGTAAGCCAACTTCAAATGGAGCTATAGCTTCGGTCTAAAGTAAATTACCGACCCTAATTATTGTCGAGCCATAATTATTGCCGAATCCTTGTAAAATTCGGGTTTGCCCTACTTTATCTTATAAATAGGAAGCAATCTAAACCTTATTATATCATATCAACTAGAGAGAAAGAGAGATTGGAGAAGATATGATTGATATTTTTTCTTGTAAACATTTTTTTCATAATAGTGAATTACTGCAAAGATGGGAGATCTATCATTGAGGCGAACCTCTATAAATTTTGCATGTTCTTGATTGTTTATTTTCTTTCTTTAAATTGATTGCATTTAGTGGGATAGAATTAAGATTTATAATTCTTAGCATGAAGGCCATAGAAAATAGAATTTCATCCGTTGTGATTCGGGTCGAGTGGTGGTGTGGTATGCCCATAGAATCTAGGACAACACATATGTCCATAATTCCTTGCCATTGTCGAACTTTCTCTTCAAGATGCCATTAAGGTTTTTATTAATGGCCTCGACTTGCCCATTGGACTGGGGATAGTATGGAGGAGGAAAAAAAAGATATTTTGAACACCAAGTTCATCACACATTCTTTGCAACCATTTCTTTCAAATTGAATACAAATACTTGATATGACAGAATATGGGATGTCAAACTTTCAAATTTTATCCATTAAGAAAAAATTCAGAAGAATTAGCTTCCATTATCTTTGGAGCTCACAAGCTCAGAAACAGCATCAGTATAACTGTTATGACTCCAGGGATTTGGGCGAGTTCAAATTTTCAAAATGCTCCATTACTTTGCTCAAGTACGAGATCTTGTTTTTCTCTATTTCCGTGAACTTTTCATTTACTTAACTCACCATTGGTTGAGAATTGCTGTTAACAAAAATCATTTTCACATTGGTTTCTTTGGCCAAGTGAAGTTCTGCCAAAGAATTTCGTACACAAACATTTTTGTTGGTTGCTTTGAGGTAAATTTTGAGTGTACAACTTAAAATTGCCATCTGGGTTTATCAAAGTTCCTAGAAAGTTGAAGCATTTGTTATTTATTTTAAATCCGAGAATAAAAGGAAAATTGGGCTGATATAAATTATTGAGAGACTAGTGTGAGATATTGGAAAGTTATATTTGTGTTACTTGATTGATTGAAAGTGAAAATGTTTGGATTGAGGACCGAAAATTTGAAAAAGTAAAGTTAGACACCAATTTCGTTTTACGTTTGAAAGTTTGTGTTGGACGTTGTGAAATATTTGAATTAGATAATTCAAAATATCTAAAGAGATGACTTCTCTTTTTTCCCTTTTCTTTTTATCGCGACTTGCAACAAATGATGGATAAATAAAGAATTATTAAAATGCAAGACAACTCTATTTGATTAACTCGAAAAAATAGTTCTTACGATCTCTCCCATTACTAAGACATGGAATCAATCAAAATTTGGAGGCAAATAAATGTTAAGGCAGTGGCTAGAAATTCACATACCAACTAGCATTATAAAATCACACAGTTGGGCCAGAAAGCAATGGACTGGACTGGACTAGGTTTCTAAAGTATATTACTTGGAGTCAAACCTATTCTAAATGGATCGGTCCAATTTGTATAGCCTAGTTTGATTAAATAATACATTGCACAGTTCTAAATTTACACGGGAAAAGATACAGAAACATAAATTAGATGAAAAATCTGAAAGCGGATGAATTTCATTTCACAATTAGAATGGCACGTCAGAAAAATAATGTAGTAGAGAACTACATGAAAAGAAAATAAATAATAGTAAACCAAATTGACATTAAATTATCTAACCTTTTATAAGCATGAAAACTATTATATGGCCAATATTCGATTGGTCGATCACTATCATTACAAAACTTAACAAAACTGAAAAAAATAAACCATAAGAATTGTATACAAAATTTGTCTTAACAAAATTTAACAGAAGTTGCATTTATTCACCAATGTATACAAAGGTTAAAACAAATTAATCTAACAAATTATAGTTGGACACTTATAGTGAATGAACAAATTTTTTTAGAAAAAAATAAAAATCTTCAGACAAATTCAATATCAAAAAACAAATAAATAAAAAAAAATTGGGAGATTCAATTTTGGGTCTAGAACCAAGAACAAACCAATCTCATTGTTTCTAAGTTCTAATACCCATTATCAAATTTAACCTAAGAATTGATTTGAATCACTCGATATGATTTCAGTTTGGGTTTGGTTTGAGAATTTTTTCCATCCCACAAGGTACGTCCACCACGTGAAATAATGGTCTAATGCTTTCAATTCTTTTAAGGAAATGATTCATAAATACAATAGAAAACTACCTTTTTTTGGTGATTATAGTACCTAATCAATCGTTAATAGCAGAAAATTTCTCCATCACAAGATGCTTGTAACCCAAGTTTTAGCCATTTTCTTTCACATTAGTTGAGTAGGTGGAGCGAAGAGGCGACGATTAGCGGAGGCGGAGGATTGGAGGAAGGGTGGAATTGAAATGAAAATTGAATTTGAATGGAATGGGGAATGGGTTGTAATTAGTCGAAAATGGGTGTATATAATGATTGGGTTATTGGGCTTCCAATCTTGGCTGGGTTGGGCAGGGAATTAACATAAAAAAAATAAAAATAAAAATGGGCCTCGATGGTTGAGCCCAAAAGTTATATGCCTGCAATGGACTTCATTGGGTTCCGCCCATGACCGGTTCGAAATCAACTTCTGTTACTGGACAATCGGAGCCTCAATAAAGCCACAAAGTAACATTTATTATTTATTTTAAATCCAAAATAGAATAAAATAAGGGACCTCTTTGAGTTATCCGGCAAAATTCTTTGAAAGTCATAGCATTTTCTTATTTATTTTAAATCCGAGAATAAAAGCAAAATTGGGTCAATATAAATTATTGAGAGACCAACGTGAGATATTGGAAAGTTATATCTACGTTACTTGATTGATTGAAAGTGAAAAAGTTTGAATCGAGGACTGAAAAATAGAAAAATAAGGGACTGTTCTCTTCGTGTTTTAGTTTTGTAGTTTTGAGTTTTGAATTCATTTTGGGTTTTGCATTTTGAGTACCTATTTTAAAATTGCTAAAAATACGTTTTCTTTGTCATTCTGAAGAATTGTTTTTCAAAATATAAAATTGAAAAACGCTTTTACTTTGAAATTTTGAGAATTTTTTTAATAATATTTTATTTAAGAAATATGATTATTCAATAAAATTTAATAGTTTAATATAAATATTGTATTAAATAACATATAAATTTTGAAGTTGGTGAATCTTGAAATATTTTTTTGCAACACAATTCAATAGATATTATTAGAAGTTTATGTGTCATGGCAAAACAAGTAGACACTACACAAAATATAAAGTACATCCCCGAAATCATAAAACTTGTTGGACAGACTTTCAATATTTGCTAGGGAATATACACCAAATTGACTTTCAATACTGAATGGACTGCTATCACTTCCACTTGGTGGTGAATATCTTCATTTTCAATTTTATTAATTCTCTTATAGGTGGACCATCCATCTTAGCATCATCGATTTTACAATATTCATCCTATATATGTCCATTAAGCATTTCTTGAGTTGGTATGGAAATGGATGCATGAGGAAATTATGGAAATGAAGAACATTGCAGTTCAGTTCAAAAGCCTTAAAGTTGAAACCTGTGAGTCATTTCCGTGCACTTCGTTCTCAATTCTCTTCTTATGGATATTATAAGATTTCCTAAACACACCTAAGAAAAATCAGTCAATCCAAAAACCTTTTACATTGTTTATTCAAGAAGAGAGGGTATAATTTTGTACCAAACTCAATCCCGACTAGACATTCTTTTTCAATAAAATAATTTTGTACGTAAATTCAAAATTTTTCATTACTTTATAACCACTCATTCTTAAAAATCACTTTCTATAAAATCTGTTTTTTAAAAAATGGGGCTCACTGTCACCACATTTTCACATGCTGAGAATTACGATTACATCATACTCATTTTATATACATCAAAAATACATCGTCCATCTATGACACACTCGCCATGCCATGAAAAAGTAGTCTTACTAAACCTTGATGGAAGCATTTATAATTTTCGAATAAAAAAAGTCTGCCAAGTAAATACTAAATACACCCATAATACTAAAATCTTCGTAATAAGGGGGCAAAAATGAATTTTAAACTGCATTTGAATTGTAGGGAACAAAATATGCTAACATCCCACAAAATTTTCAACATTCAAAAGAATCAGTATGGCTCTGTTCTTCAACAAAGACATTCCATCTGATTCACGACAGACAAATACAAAGCATTGCAATAATTGTCTTGAGTTTCACTTATAAATAAAGCATTTCTTCACATTCTGTCTTCTCTCTGCCATGGGGCACAAGTGATGACTTCGTCGACCATTAAAATAATTGTCTTGAATGACTCGGATATCCCCAGCTCTGCCATTTTGCCAACCTACACAAAATAGCAACCATCAAAATAGCCATGGTGGAAATCACAAGCAAGAACTGTGAAACCGTAAAACATGCGATGCATAAGCCATATCTAAAATTTTACCATGTTCATTCTCGTCCGACCACGACATTGGTTCCTTATTCCTAACTTTGTGACCATCCATGTTGAAGCTATATTCATATACATCAAATTATTATCAAATATGTATGACCTTCCGTAGGCGATTTGAGGACATATTAATGTATTTAATTATAGTCAAAAGCATACCTAACACATGTACGCATAATTATAAGCATCAACATCTATACACACACAAGCATCAACAACAAACGATCCAACAAATCATAGAATATGGACAAAATCATCGTTTACGAATTAGATTTACCTAATTGAAACAGGGAGATCTATAGTTTACACCAAAAGAGTTTACACCAAAATCATCAACAACAAACTATCCAACAAATCATAGTATATTGAACATGTCATTTTTATTTTTTTTTGGGTACAATTTTACAAGACTCTCAGTACATATTTAATACAAAATATTATTATATGCGACGGAATTAATCAGTAAAGTTTAAATTCAATTTACTTTTAAATATTATTACAATCCTCCAATGGTGGCAGCCATGAAATATTAGATTTGATGGCTGTGGACAGACGCCAGTGGTTATATCCCAAGTCCAACCACACAACCAGAGAGAAAAATTGAGAAGAGGATTATTTACCCAAAACAAATTATTTCTTACGACTAAAAATCAAAGAAAAAGGATTTTAAAAAAACCGAGCAGTTATTCAGATTGTTATCTAATTAAAAATCGCAAATTCATAAATAAATGGATTATCTGTCCATAATTTCCTAACAATGTTTTCGTTGAAACTAAATACTGAATAAAAAAAATGGAATTCAGGCACAGAAGATATAAGGATTATATGTGTTAGACATTATGTTGTCAAACGACCTCCCGGGCGATGATGAGAACCAATTTTATCAGTCGACATGAATGACTGAACGATAATTCAACATCGAATAATGGATGAACCGACCAAACGTTGCTTTACCTATTGGACGGCTAATACTCTTTGTGGCTTGTTGATTTTTTCCATTGGAAGTTTACCCTAGTCGAGCCTACTTACCATATCCCTACTTACCTTATGTTGGCCACTTGACTTACTATATATATTGGTGTTTTCACCCTTGTTGAACCCGTCCAACGTTGAAGTCGTGAGAGAAACTGCCGTGTCCAGCCGTGTTCTTCTGCCTTCATCTTCTTCGTGATTTCTCCTCTACCCCAATTGCTTGAGTCTTTGTGAACCTTACCTGAGTGGTATCCATCCTAAGTGTGTGGATTAAATCAACAAAGCAAAGGAGGAAAGCAACCAAAGAGGAAGAGGCGCCGGCGGTATGGGTGACTCCAAAATTGATGTTGAATTCGGTTTTAATGGTTAACTGAGCCCGAAAATCATCGTGAGCAACAAGAGGAAGGTTCTAACATCTGGTATCAGAGCTTGGGTGGCAAAAAACGGCTCAAAATCGGCTGATTTTCGCACCTACAACCTAGAATCCGAATCTGAAAATTTGCAATTACTCACAAACCAAAGCTCGGTTGGACAAACGGAGGCTATACCCATCATCAGCAGGCCGAGGCGCTCCGGGAGAGGCGCACAGGATACGTATTTTGAAGCACTCACTATTTCAAATAGTAAATTCAACATTTAATCGAAAACGAAAAGAGCAATTAAGAAACCTGTTGTAGAAATTGGTGGAGAGGTTTACGAAGGTCTGAAGGCCCAATTTCTAGTAGAGATTGGTTGTTTGATCAATGGCTATAGACAATGAGAATAATTTATATTTTTGTATGTTGAACTTACAATCATGCAGTCTCTTATATAGAAATTGAGACTAACTACAATCCTATAATTAAGGAACATTCAAATTCAAAGTAAGCTGCTGGTAGAGGATTAAGGAATTGATAAGTTCTCTGGATTTGTCTCTGATATATCCTCATCTGAAATATCTGCCGAGTTGTTGGATGTAACAGATTCATCAACCTGATCTTCCACAATGACAAAACCTTTCCTGTCATAATAATACATATACACAACATAAATATACATGTATTTACAGATTCAGTGCAGAAAAAATTACAGATGAAAAATGGAAGAAATGCAGACGAAAATATAAATAATACAGAAAGATTAATACCTACCGAGATGAAGCTTGCGATGTACAAGTTTTATAGACTACGAGGGGCATAAAGTGGCGGCTTTCTTTAAAACCCTAACCCTAGTCCAAGCGGCGCAATTCTTTTGACCAATGCTAATCAATTTGAATTTTTTTATTTTTTTTTATTTATTTTTTTTTTTTTTACAAGGTGTCCGGGCTTGCGTCCGACTAGATTCTTGTCCCTGAACCTCCGGCCCCTCAGCAGCTCAGGGAGGTAAATCGCAGGATATACTCTTATTGGTTCCCAGGTTCCCACAACTCATTTCGACTCCTTCCGCAAAGAAGGTCCCCCACTCTTTTGATTGCACGACAGATTGATTTATTAGAAGACTTGTAATGTTTTAATATTCGTGTGGTAGATGATTTTCATCTATTTAGAGCATCTTCAATAGTTCTTTATTTTAAATAGCATTTTTTTTTTTCAAATAAAAAATGTTGAAAATAAGGAATGGAACTTTTTTATACAAA